TTATATATATATATATATATATATATATATATATATATATATATATATATATATATATATATATATATATAAAAGTAAAAAAAAGTATCTCTCTCTTATGAGTGGTATCGCAATCCAATATCGATAAAACGTGCATTCGTTCCCCTGCGATTAGTTCAAGGTAACGAGGACTTGGCGACTGATAGAGTGACAGATGCGAATTTGTATCTTGAAAATTTATTTCATTTATATAAGTCCTTTTGTTTTGATTTCTCTCGCCCTATGATTTGAGTTTGGAGCCAGTTTTTAGTTGTCAAGCGTAATGCATGAATAAGTAGTATATGTCTCTGTCTATCACGCAGATTTGGTGATTGTTACAGAATAATGGTGCGGAGGTGATAGCTGATTTCGCGGCTCGCGTCGCGAAAGCCGCGACCGAGGAGTCAGATTCAGGCTCAACGGTATCGGCAAGCGTGTCCGATAGTATAACCGCCAATACGTCTCAAACAGCGACAGCGCAAAGTTTATCAAACGTCCATAATTCCAATAACGGCGCGAATAGTCAATATAATGCCAGTTCACATTCGTCTACGCAGAACGTAGCTGGCGGTGTTGTATCTGCGATAAATAGTCAATCGTTAGGTACTAGTAACAAGACGCAAGTAGACTCTACCGTGACTAAGACGGAATCGAAACCATTGCAACTACCCGTGAAAGAGTTCCAGCCTAGAAGCGAAGTAAAAAATACGACGATCGAAGAATCGTCAGTCGTTATTCCAGTAGTGGTCGCTGTCGCGAGCAAGGATACTGTTCCCGCGTCAACCACTAATGCCGGAACAGTAACAGCAACGGCGGCGATCACAACGACGACTATTGTAACTGCAATCACCGAGACTCAGCCTGAGGCTGTTGGGTCCGGTCCCATTATGAGCTCTGAAGTGGCAAAAAGCAGCGCTAATATTTCGCCTAATGTAACACAGACGGCAGTTACAACTTCGCATTGGAGCGTACCGAACGTGAACGTTGGCCAAGACATCGCTAAACCGTCCGCCACTGCCCCGAGTGCTAACCCCGTTCCTGCCCGAGACCCGTTCCCCAATCTGTCCGCCAAGAATACGTCGAATTCGCCGCCGAGGAGGAAATCGCAGAACCACGCTCACAGTCAGTCTAACACTACCGAGCTGCCTTCGAGTGCCAAAGAGCAGAAGGGAGATAGAAAAACCCGGGAGAAGAGTCTGAGTTCGCGAGGTGGTGCTGCTTCTTCCACGCCCGTTCACAATCAGCAGACCGACCATCATCATCAGAAAGCGAATGGCGACGCGGTTGGCCAAAAGACTGAAACGGAGAATCTCCCCAGGAACGAGGTCCAGCAGAAGCCAGCAGACAGTAAGTGATGTCAATTTTTTTATAGTCATTTATATATATATTATTTTTTATCTTTTTCTCTCTCGAGCGATTGCTCGTTACGACGGCTGCTGCCCCCTCCCCCCACACTTTGTTTCAATGTCTTTTAACACCTGTGTTGTCTGAGGAGTATTCCAATTACGTTGCTCACTTATCTCTCGTTTTACGTCACGCAATACTGAACGATGCAATTTCACACTTCATTTAAATCGCCCATGTCGTCTTTTCTTTAAGGCTCCTGGCCCCTCGCATTGTCTATCGTTTTTTAATGACGTCAGAAGTGAGAAAATGCATGCTAAAAATTCGTGCGAAATACATTGAAATAAAAATATATATCCATAAAGTAACACTTGCAATCGATTAAACAAATTTGTAAGATACTCCCCTTTTGCTCTAACAATCAATAATTTATTGTAAATTAATCTGAATAGAAATAGGTGAAGAAAAAATTTAAGAAGATGAATTGTACGTTACGTTAATTTACGACAAATTATTGATTGTTAGAGCAAAAGGGGAGTGCACGGAATATCTTACAAATTTATTTAATCGATTGCAAGTGTTACTTTATGGATATATATTTTTATTTTAACATATTTCGCAAGAATTTTTAGCATGCATTTTCTCGCTTCTGACGTCAAAAAAAATAGACAATGGATTGCCTTAATGTCTTTTAAATGTCAAAAACATTACTTCTTTGAATCAAAAGAATCACATTTCCTTTAATTTATAGTAGAAAGAATCGTTGAATCGACTTTATGTCATGAAGTCACTTTATTAATATTAATATACAGTTGCACGATTTTCAAACTCGAGTGTGAGCGATATTTTGCAAGTCGGCTTTAACACGTCAATCATTTTTTACTTTACATTGACGAAAGAGAGTTAATAGAAATTTAAAAAAATGCATACGAACGCGGGAACATACACTCCGGTAACGCCCAGTCGAATATAGCCTTGAACGAGTTTACCGAAGGATACGACAACTCTGCCCTTTCTCCATATTTCTCTCTTTCACTAGCAATTGGAAATTTACCGGCATTACAATAATTATTCAGAATTGCCAGACAGCATTTGGTAGATGCTTTATAATTACAACGACGTGAGACAATCGACAATGGAAACTTTACAATTTTTTCCATTATATTTAACGAGAAACATATATATTGCACTAAATTAATCATTATATTTATATCATACGATATCATAGGTAAATATATGGATAAACTAGGCAGCAATTTTATCAATTAATTTGTAAAGATTGCATCATTTATGAATGGTTGATGTGGTACTTATGTTTATTGTAAAGAATTATGAAATAGAAATAGGAGACAAATATAAAAAAAAATGTGTAAAAATTTATTTTAAACAATATATCGCGTAAAATAAAAATATGAATATAACTTGTAGTGAATTTGTTGCTGTATCAATGCAACAACAATTATTATATGATGTAAATTTAATGATTAATTCAATACAGTATATTTGGCACATAAATTTAATTAAAAAATTTTAGAGGTTTTTCGTCATGGAATGTTTCATCTCGTGATAACCATGAAAGTCTATCTGGCTGACTGTTATCTATTACGAATAATTGATGTAACCGACGAATATGACTTGTTAGTAAAAGCCAATGTATCCTAAAACGCCTGCTAATGGCTTCTTGAACTTTGTGCCAACTGTTTGAGATAGCACGCGATAGACGTGTTTTACAGACTTAAACAATGTTTTTTAATACGCAATAGTACTGTTTAAGTCGTTTATCAACTCAATTGAATCCGTCGTTATTTTACACAATTTTACCAATTCATAGAGAGTGTATGTTCTTTGTACGTTATACAAAATTTATCATGTTCATATTTACGTTTATATTTTTATGTTGCACAAGTTATTATCTTGATAACTGTTCTTATTAGCGGTTTCTGTAATACATTGCATTTTTCGAGTTATTTTAGTAACTTTACGTTTCGTTCTCGTAAAATTAACGTTTGGATTTAGAATAAAAATTTAGAATTGTAAAAAATTGTGTAAAACGTGTCGAGACCAATACGTCGAGCGTGTGTATATGTTCACCTGCAACATTGTTGCATCATGCGTAAATTTTCACTTTTCTCCTGAAGAGGACTCCTGTGAACCTTTGTACTTGACTATAACCTGACCTGACCCAACCTAACCCAATCGAAAAGCCACGAGGAGGGCATAACGCACCGCGCAGGCGACTGTTGCGGCCATCATTCTTGAACTCTGTGTCGCGTGAGTTCAGACATCTCAGAGCCGGTACGACAGTAACATCAGAAATTCTGTACGAAGTAACATCAGAAATATTCATCGTAAAGTGCAAGTTTCAAATTCGTTCGTTGTTGGACAAATATGCTATACAAGCGAACGTTCGAAACGCGTTTTATTTTTAATTAAATTAGTGTTCGTGTTTGATTTCGATTTCACATCGTTTTACCATGTGTTAACGGATACGAATGCTCTCCGGTAAACGAGTCGTGAACGTTATAATTGTTATATTTTATTTGTATTTATTTTAAAAACAGGAATTTTTAAGTGTTCAGTGCTATTATTTTTTAAATGAAACCGCGTGTATCATAATACGTGTACGACATTGCTGTGAGATTTCAGTGTAATTGGCGTATTCGCGCGAATTTTCTTGTAGCGTCTCCAAACCGTGCCTCGATCTGCGAAATATCGCATCGAAAATGGGGAAAAGGGGTAAGATAAAAGAATTTTATTACGTGAACAACAAAAAATTTCTTCTCTTAATACGTGCGCGAGAGAAAAATGCTTGAAAATTTCTTTGTAGGGACGTAAAGTTTATTTCTGTGAAATAAAGCTCACTTTCTCAAAATCAACTTTTGTCCCCTTAAGTAAATGTTCGAGAATTTTCTTCCTCAGCGTGTACGCATTCACGCGCATATTTTCTCGATTTTGTCGTTGTTCAGATTTCTCTCAGTGAGTTTCTGTGCATTTGAAACATCGAGATGTACACGTGGCGGCCTGCTTGACGAAAAAATTCGTGTCCGCATTCCCCGTAAAATTCGGGGTTGATTCGCAAGTCAGGGACAAAACGCGAGCGCGCGCGAGTTTGGCATCGATCGTGCTCGTGAAAATGGATGTCGTTTGCTCCGGAAGAAAGACGTGTATTTAGGCTCGGAAGCGTCCTCGGGCTCTTTTCTTTCTTCTCCTTTCTTCTGGCACCCTATGAATATCTGTCCTTTTCGGGACGTGCTTCGGCGGCCCGTCTTGCTTTTGCACCGTGATCGAAACGTGCGCTAGCGAGCGACAAGGTGCGGCGTGGCGAGGCGAGGCACGACGCGACGAGCCAAAGGCAGACGGTGACGCGTTTACGCGAAAACTGCCGACGAATCGCCGAGGATGCACGAAGCAGGTTAACCGGTGACTAGTGTGGGACACGACGAGAGGGGTGGAAGTCTCGGCGACGGCATCGGTCTCTTTCGTCGCCGAGGGTCTCTTTCAGTAGCTAGCACGTGCTCCGCTAGCCGGCGGCCCCGTTCTACTCTCCGCTCTCTTCTACATCCCGATTCCACCCTCGGTCCCCTTTTTTAGTTCGCGTCCCCATTTTTGTTCCGTTCCTCTCCGACTCCTTTTGCACCGTTAACACCCCAAGAAACGCTCCTCGCGACGTCACGCTCAGAATTTACATTCCCTTTAATACGCGTTACACGCGTTTTGCACGTGCGTCACACCTCGTGTCGCCTACGTAAGCTCCTCTGTAAGAGAATTAGATTAGATTGTGCATGGTGTTGATGCGCCAGCATTTTCACTATAATTGTAAATATATATTAATTTTTAATTAATCGCGACGAGTGCCGACTCGTTCACGTCGTTTTGTCCCGCAATCTGGATCCTCTCCATTCTCTTGTCCGCTTTCCCTTCACGAGCGAAATCTGTACGTTTTACGTGGTCTCGTGCTGTGTGAGAATGCATATTTCGTGGAGTGAAAAGTTCCTTCGTTTTGTTGCGTGACTGATAAAGCGGATATTAGTGAGTCGAAACAAGTGCAAAGGGAAGCAGCAGCCTGTATAATGGAAGGATGCACGTAGAATCAACGATGTGCGTACGTATAATCTTCTTTTCTTCCCCTCCCCCCCTTTTTTCCCTCCTATTTTCTCTTCCTTTCTTCGAGAGTCCCACCGGCTTCAGTGCGTCGTAATCCAAAATGTCGGATGCCTTGGTAGCAACGTGGTTCCCCGACATCTTGTAGTCCACGAAGCGAACTGGGCGAGGAGGTGAGGTGGAAGAAGGAGAGAGGGAAGGAGACGAGACGGCGCTAGGCGCGCGCGAGCTCTCGCTCGCTCGCTCGCTCGCTCACGTACCCGCTTTACTCATTTTATTTCTTTCATTAGATTTGCAAATCACATGCCGCACTCGACGTGGCAGTCCCGCACCGATAATGTACCGTGAGTGCAACGCGTTCGTTCGGCCGTCGAATGTCGACGGCGCTGTTCAAATATGGCCACCCAGATGCGGCCGACGCACACGCGAAGTCACGAGGCGGGTCCCCGTCGATTCTCTCTCTCTCCTCTCCTCTCCTCTCCCCCTCTCTTCCTCCCTCTCTTTCTCTGTCTTGCTCTCTTCCCACAAGAGAATGAGACGGTCTTACCCACGAAAGGCCGTCCGTCTTCGCGAATCACTCCGAAAAATAAGTATCGCGCGATTCTCCCGGATTCCGTCGAGTGTATGTCGCAACGTTATCGCGACGACTGTTATCTAACTCAACTTTTCACCACGTGCATACATATAGATTTTTCAAATAGATTTGAAAAATCCATTATGCACTCTCTGCACAGACGCACGCGCATAATGAAATGTACTCGTAATTGCCCTCGGTGTCTTGAAATTGTTCGCATCGATCTTGAAATCGTACGCAGGCAGCGCGCGATTCAGTAGACGTTCGGGAGAAAAGACGTTACACCGACCACGCGGTCGTGCGTGTGAGGCCATTTTGTGAATGATCGAAAGAGAACGCGCAGCACCATATTGGCTCGCCAAGGTCCCTTCTCGGTTCTCGTGTGTAACGCTGTCTTTTTAACTCCACTCTACGAAGTCGACGAATCGTTTCTCTTTATGTCGGAAACACCTCGCTCCGCTTTCGCGATACACTTACGCTATACGTCTAAATTGGATTGTTCTTTGGCAAAATTTATCTTTTCGCAATTACATACCCAAACGATCATTTTTTTAGTGCTTGGAACACTAGATTTATTAATTTGAGGAATTTCTTGATATATTTCTCGCAGTAAATTACTGATTGTGTTTTCCAACTTAGAGTTTTATACGCATTTGTGACACTTATAATTTTGTTCTATCTTTTCTCTTTCCGTTCATTTTCCATATGTTGCTTTGTAACGGGTCTTCTCTTTGTTCCTCAGAATTGTTATTGCAATTATCGACTTAATTTTTTAATAAAAAATCCTTCAACAACGAAAACCTACTTAATTTACGTAATACAAAAGAAATATTCCTTATTTTAAACATTGAAATCGCTTTCTTTTTTTGATCCTTTATGTCAATAAAGAGGAGTAGATTTTCGATCGCATGTAAAATCCCGAAAAAGTCGATAGTAGGATCGAATAACGCAACGGTCGAGAGTTTGACACTCTCGAGGCTTTCCGTTTGGCGCATGAGTGCACTCGAATATCCGGCTTTATCGATTGAAATAATTGACCCGCGAGAGAAATGCATTGATAATAGAAGCACTATTGCCGAAACCGCGTGCACGCTCCGCGACCCGGTAAAAGAAGTCTCGTCGGGGTCACGGCCGCGTGTGGTAACGCGGACGCGCGCGAATGCGTGTCGTGTGCGCACGCGCGCGCCCTCTCGCTCGGCTAACACGCCATTTCATACACAGGGAACACGCGGCGAGCGTGTGCACCGAAAAAATATCACGAGACTTTCGGCGCCGCGCGACCTTGGGGCCGTCGTTCGTCGGTGATCGGGTGAAAGTCTTCCGCGGATTAGAAAAGAATTCCGCGGCCGCAAGGTGGAAAATGGTGCGCGGCTGCTTTGAGCGTCCAGGGAGCCGTTAATAACATTTCGTTCGTTAACGAGATCGGAGAGGCGAGAGCGTATTCTCGTTGCTAGTAATCGCCAGATATCGTTATGGGCGAGAACGTGCGATTTTCGATGTTAAACTTTGACCTTTCGGGGAAGTCCACGACCGGACGTGTGTAGATCCAGAAATATTTCTACACGCCGCACGAAAGCATCTCGATCCATTGACACATCTGTCTACAATTTTATCTCGAATTATATCGTGGAATTTTTAAGTTAAATAGGAACGAAAGAGCGTGTATCTAAGATAGATATATTTTTACTAAAGATTTTTTTACTAAAGATACTAAATTCATGTGCCGAGATAAGCGTTCGACATTTGGAATTCTTACCAGATTAGATATTCGAAAGTTATTTGTTAACAATCTAGAAAAATTTATATTCAGGAGTAGCAAGTATTTTTTAACATGCGTCCGGTATCACACACGTGTTAGTTCCAATCTTACTTATAAGAACCATTCCCAACAACGTCATCAAACAAAAAGTACATTTTGAACAAAGCTATAATTATAGAATGAAACATTGTAAGACACAATGAAAAACTATAACTACAACTCTGGATAATATCGATTAGCAACATACTCGAGCGATTAACAGACTTAAAATTTAGATCTTACTTTCCATTTTTTCCCATACATTATATTATTGGAATTTTTGAACCCAAACTCGAGCTTGAGTCTCCAACTGGCTGTGTAAGTTTTCGATTTTAACGTTTTTACATCGGAGAAAAATTTTTTTTTCCACTTTTGTTCCCAGACCTTCGGTGTAAAAACGTTAAAATCGAAAACTTACACAGTCAGTTGGAGACGCGTACAAACTCGAGCTTGGGTTCGAAAATTCCAATAATAGAATATACGTCAAAAAAATGAAAAGTCAGATAAGATTCTTCTCTATATCTTGAAGATAACCAAATGCGTCTGCCTTGTAGATAAATAATCGTGCCACGTTATTGACACAAGTCTCACTATATAAGAAGTAATGTAACGGGAAACTTTTCATCGCATTCACTGTATGAAAACACAAATGTTTACTCTGATAAAGTGATAATGTAACAGTGATATAGCAGAATTTAAATACTCCACTAAACAATCTTCGGCTATTATATCTTGAAGTATCTTCGATGTAATATTGATATGTTTGTTACGCAACGTTTTACAATATTTGAACGCACAAAAGGCAACATGTGCTCTGCTCTTCATGGTATCGAGGGGGAAATTCGAAGATGGACTTAAAATAAATATAAATCATTATAGTAACAAGTAACAACAGCGATAACACGTGGTTCAATGATACGATAAACACATATACACAGCACACAGCGGAGGGCACAAAAGATATGTCGGTGAAATTTAGACGGGCTGGTTTTCCCGTCGACGCGATCCTCTTCTTAAAGCTCTGCCGATCCACGGTCGACGGACGATTCGCGTGCGCGACTCTACCACGATCGTAGCTGTCTAATTATATCGCCTTTCTCGAAATCCGCGGTCGCACCATTGCGTTTCGTGCGATTGCGAGCGCAAGCGCTCGACCTCTGCGCGATTTTTATTTATTGCCCGTCGTCGTCGTCGTCATTGCCGTCGCCATCGTCGTCGTCGGGATCGTCGGTTGTACGATTCTCTCTCGCGATAGCCACCTCGACCCGCTTTTGCAAAATGCGATTCAACCTACTTTCGTGCATCGAGAATCGAATCGAAGAGCGGCATATGGCTCAGTGAACGTTCTCGCGCGCGCCGATTAATCAGTCGATCCTAATAGCCGCGCCAACCGAACTATCGTGGGAAAGAAAGAAAGAAGTCCGTCGAGAGCGCGACGGGAAGTCGAAGTTGCGACTCCTTCATCGACTTCCGATCGAGTCGGTCATGAGCGTATGATGCTCGCCGATACGTGAAAATAGGTGGATAAATGAACGTGCATACGGATAAAATCGGGATTCTTCACGCAATCGGGATTTACCGCGCGCGCGCACGATACGTCTCTGCGGATTAGATCGAGCCGTGTACGAAATTGCGCTCAGTGCGCCTGCTCCGACGCAAACCGGCGAACAGAACTAATTTAAGAAATCCTATGTCGTGCCTGTTGGTTTGCGCCAGTTCACAGGTTAAAATAGATGCGTGAAAGTCGTCGGGCGTCGCGAGGCCAGCTTCCCCGAGGCTTTTCCGAAGTGTCTTTTCAATTTGAGACAATCGTCCACGACCACTGCGCTGTCGTCTTTTCTAATTGTTCAATCGTTTATCGTTACACGAATCGTTTATCGTCGTAATCGCCGTCGGTAATCGGATCGGAATTTGAGTGCTTGCTTCGACGACTTCTCACCGTGGTTTTCGTTCCAAACGTCCTTCTCAATCTCTTTCACGATCTTCGTGAGTTGTCGTCGTGTCTGATCAGAAACGTGAATTGCACACCGATATCTTACTGGTTACATTTTCGTCGAAGATGCGAGTGTCGTCGTCGTCGCCGTGTTTCGTATCGCATCTACACCACGTTTGGCAGGGATTTGGCAGGTTTATAAATAAATACTGAATCAGTGGGCCGTGGTGGAAGCGCGAAGGGGAAGCGCGGCAGGGCGGAGGTAGTGCGCGCGGGTGCGGCAGCGACGACGACACGGCCGCGGGGTGAGAACGACGGATCGCCCTGAAACTCGAGCTATCCTCGAGGATGTGAGAGCTCACGTGCACGTGTGCACACGTAAAAGACATGGGCGACCGAAGAACAACGGCGGCGACGAATGGCGGCTGTGGAGGCGGCGGCGGCAGCCGTGCCAGCAGCAACACGAGATCCAAAAGTCGTCATCGACGCGGATCCCGAGATCATGGTATTCTCGTATTCTGTAGCGAAGCTTATGTCCCTTCGATGTTGGCTCCGCGGCAATATGCCGACAGGATTTCTCCTGGATATCGTCTTAGATATCTGTAGATTTTCAACAGTTTCCGCAGCCTTCCATGTGTCGTGTATGACTAATTGTTTTTTTCCTTTCTTCTTTCAGGTAAGGCTATGCAAAAGCAAAAAAGTAAGAATAAGCTGAAACCTCGCGAACTGAATCGCAAGGGAGCCGAGAAGGAAGGCACGGACATGGACGCGTTTGTAAATACAGCACCAGCACCGAAAACCGCCGAAATCAAGCAAGATAACAAGGAATCGCAGTCCCTTCCAGTTCCTCCAAAAGACGGCAACAAAGAATCCGTCAGGGAGATCAAAGACATGAAGGAAAAAGAAAATTACGAGTCGAAGAAGGAAAAAGAGATTTTGGCTGTGTCAAAAAACGAAAAACACGAAATTGTCGAGGTGTCGAAAGAAAGCACTCCCGTGCAACAGGCGCCGTCCCCTCCCATCGTTGACAAGCTGCCGACCAACAAGGAAATGTCCAAGGAAGCTACTCCCCCGAAAATCGGGGATAACGCGAAGCCACCGAGCAACGTATGTAACACGCAGCAACCGAAAGCGACGGTGCCAGCGGTGACGGTAGTTCCAGTGGTAGTTCCCAATGACGTCGTCGATCATATAAAGATCAAGGAAGACATAAACCTGGAAATATTAGTCGCGCAGAAAAACGAAGAGAATTCCAAGGTGTCGGCATTGTGCACGTCTAACGAGGAAGAGGAGGAGAAGCCGACGGCGGTTTTGGTGGAAGGCACGAAACAAGAAGTCGAGATGCAGGATGCCTCAACAGAAACCACATCTAAAGCACCAGTGCTCAAATATACATACAAGGAGGATCAATGGAGTCCGATCAATACAGCTGGAAAGAAGATGTATGATAGAGAATTTTTGATGAAATTGCAATTTGATCCAAACAGCAAGATCAAACCGCCGAATCTTCCAGACCTAGAGATTGTTCTCAAGGATCCCAGGGTAAGATGTTGATCTCGTTGCTTTCGTATATAACTATATGCTTACGATATCATCGTCGCTTACGTGGGCGTATGAGGGGATTTTTACGTCTTATAAGTGAATATATAAAATATATTATTATATAATACATATTTTTGTATCATATATATGTATGTGTGTATATAATATTATGTATTACTATAGGTACGTCTTAGTGCTATGACGGACTTGAGGCCATTCACACAAGTTCACTTAAGTAGACATGATGCGTTGATGCCAGGATTTGCGAAGGCTACTGCAAATTCTCGTTTGGTAAGTATATAACATCGCATTATTTCAAATGAAAAGGTCGATTCTTTACAGTTTCTGTAGAGAAATCTGCTATTCTATTCAAAATGACTTGTAATATTTGAATTAGAGGATATATCATGGAACTGTTTGTAAGGTTTTTTGATCGGAATTAAAGTAAAAATTACCAATACATTATTATTAGTTAGAGACATCATTAATGTCATTAATATGTTATTAATATATAATTTGCCGTTATATCGCGTTTTGAGAGTTTTTATGGAAATATACGGTGCTATCTGGATGTGTATCTAATCCTGGATACTTTCGCCATTTTAGTCTGTAATAAGAATAATAAGAATATATATAACTGATATATAATCGACATCTTACAAACAAGCGGAAAGTCGATTCTGATCAGAATAAAGATACGGAGGTCTTGTGCTGTGATGAAGAAAACCGCTATCGTTTATTTCGTCGCGTAGTAACGTAATAACAACTGTCTCTAAAGATGACACTAATAAAATCACGATTAGAAATTGATCAATTAGAAACTTATATTTCTAATTGGAATTATAAAATAGTTCCATGATAGAGTTCCTTAGGAAGAGGGTTACTCAAATGATGCCGAATTAAGATTGAAAGTAGTGATCTGAAATTTAATGAACGAAGACATACTTTTCTGATTGAAATGATTGCACTCTTCAAAGTATTTGTGCGTATTGTATTAACATTATTACTATATAGAATGTTCATATCTTGTTTACAGCCACCCACAAATCGTAAAAGTCATCCGGGAAAACCGAGTAAGCCCACCAAACCAAATATAATACAGTACTCGATATCAGTTAAGGAAGATGTGCAATTGAAGAGAATCCATAATGCTTGGGTGCCATTAAGAATTCAGTCTGCGAGTATGTCGCCCGATGATGTGAAGACATTTAATATCGTCAGTAGTGTACGTGGTGTATTGAATAAGCTCACTCCAGAAAAGTTTGGAAAACTAATGGATCTTATCAAGGAACTCGATATTGATACGCCTGCACGACTACAAGAAGTTATCAGTTTAGTATTTGAGAAAGCAGTCGACGAACCTTGCTACTCTGTGGAGTATGCACAGTTGTGTAAAGAATTGGGTTTCTTGGAAGTTAAGGATCCTGATATAGAAGGTGCTGTTATCACCTTTAAGAAACTTATAATTACACGTTGTCAAAAAGAATTCGAGAAAAATCCCAACGATGACATCATGAGAAATAAAGCACTCAGAGAAATTGAAGAATGCAAAGATCCCGTAAGTATTTTGCTAAATTTAAATTTTATTCTATAGTTTCCTTTTTCTTCACTTTCCACTTTCCACAGCAGCAATTATGAAAATTTCAATGTCTTATTATTTTATTTTCCTTTTATTAGAATCTAAAGAAAGAAATGAAGTTGTCATTTGAGGATAAAGAACGTCGGCAGCGCATAAAGTCTGTAGGAAATGTCCGGTAAGTAGATTCTTTTATTCAGTATTTCTCAAGATGTCCACTTATATTTAGATATAAGAAATAAAGAATACGTGCAAAGTAAGTTTGTGCGTTTATTATTTGGTATAATAAAGAAAAATAATCTTTGTTTAAAAAATATATACTTTTACGAGAGATAATAATTTTCTGAAATATCATTTATCGTTAACAGATTTATCGGCGAGCTATACAGAGCGACGATATTGACAACAAAAATTATGCATCGTTGTATTACACAATTATTGCAACAAAATTCTGAAGAGAGTATGGAATGCTTGTGCAAACTGTTTGAAACAATAGGCCCAGAGATAGAAGGAAAATCTGGTGTGGTAAGGATATATTATGTTTTCACTTTCTTTTTTATATTTAAAATTGAATATGTATATATATTTTTCTAAATGAGAAAAATGTGACTAAATAATCAACAAATTTTATAATTAAAATAACTTACTGTAATTTTCGTTATTTGTTGTCTTATTTATTTCTCATTCGCTTCTTTTTTTTTTCTATTCTAGGAAATTGGTGAATATTTTACCAGAATGAAGGAGATTGTTTGTCGAAAGGGACAAAATCTTCCTAAAATTAATTCTAGAGTACGCTTTATGATTCAAGATGTCATAGAATTAAAAGAAAGAGGATGGAAAAAGAGAAGAGAGGAGGAAAATAGTCCTAAAACAATAGATGAAATTACGAAGGAGGCAGAGTCTGAAAAATTAGACTCTCAGCTCAATAGTGCTCTGTTAAATACTCCTAGAAAAGATGATCGTAACAACGACAAAAAGAAAAATCGTAAGTTTTGCTTGTAATTAATACATGGTCGTAATTAACTCCCTGCATGTTCTAATATATATTAATACATTTTTATATTATCAATAAATATATTACATATGTTATTCTTAATATTACTTATATATTCTAGGTGGACTTGGTCCTACTGATGATGGTTGGAGCCAACCTGTAACTAGAATGAGGCCATCGGCGTACTCTGTAGAAACAGCAAAACTGAAGAATAAACCGGTTAGTAAACTCATGCAAATTCTTCATGATGCAAACGTTAATGTTAACATTGGTAACGTAAATATTATATCTTATATTTTCTTTATAGCCACCCATGGACGACATGCAACTTGGTAGTAGAAACGCTTATATGTGGAAGAATCCGGTTATGAGTGGTGCTAATAAGACAATAAGTGCAAATAAGTTTGCATGTCTAGAGAACATGAACTTTGAGGATAAAAGAATGCCATTGCAACTGTCTGGGTAAGTCGAAATTCTTCTTACGTGTAAATATAAGGATTGCGAATTATATCACAATTACTGTTCATTAATCGTACGTATCGTGCTTTTCAAATATGATGATACACACAATATATTGCCTAGACTAGAGTTTCTGAATAAGCTCAAATTTCTATGATTTCAAATGAATTCTGACGATACAAGAAACTTACATGTTAACATTAGAAGTACATCGGACAGCCGCTTATATTTTTATTTATTATTTCAGATCGAGATCGACGGGTCCATGTGGCCGTGACTACAAGAGTTCCTATGGTACGTCTCTTTACAAACAGATAAATTTATTTTAATACGAGATACACGGCGTATCTTGTATATTATGTTCAAAGTATAGTATTCTTGATGTCGATAAAATTTTAAAAGAAACTTCGTCATTTTTATAGATGGTAGGAATTCCCGTAATGGTAGCCACCAAATGAGCGGTGCATCGTCGAGTAGGGGCGGTAACTCGTTACTGGATAGCTCACGCAGTCAAAGTATGTCGATGCCTTCGCCTATAATGAAATCCGGTTCACAAACTGGGACAATTAGTCATAAACCTCCGATGTCGCAGCAAGACTTCATGAAGGCCCTGAACTCTACATTAAGACACTATCTTGCGGAACAAGTTATTGAGGTAAGTCGTGCTTTACGCTAAATCTGATAATAATATAAGTGACGCGAACGTATTATCAAGTTTCACAGACGCACGCTCCTTAGATCCATCTTTGATTCTTTAGGAGATGCTTGAGTCATTGGCGTGCAATAATACTCAATACCTTCTTTTTGGTCTTTTGTGGTAATATATATTATTGCGTTACTTACATTGACCAACGAGAGGACAAATAAATATTTAAGAAAACGTTTTGTTACAATTATTCAAGTATATCCTGCAATATTTAAATCTATAACGTGATGCACGATCTAAATTATACGCATTTTCCTCTGTTCTTACAGGATACGGCACTAGAAGTTAAACAAAAGTTCGATAGTACCACTTTGAGCAAGTTCACGCTCGAATGTATTAACCACGTTTTTGAAAAAACCGCTGCCGATCGAGAATCTGTCTCCAAGCTTATGTCCCACTTAATTAAGGAAAACATTTTACCTCTGCAATATTTTAAGAATGGGTGAGTAATTCGTTTTGTTCCGATATGTTTAGTTATCGATTAAGAAGTAATTATAACCCGAATTATTGCAAAATAATTCACGTCCATGACTTATGAGTTGATCAATGATGATAACATTTTTTATAGAGTAAAGATGTATGTGAAAATTATATCTTTGTGTTGTAAGCCAAAAGGATACTGACGATATTTATATAAATCTAATTACATTATAATGTTTCCATAGAAACCTTTGTAAACGCAATGAAATTTTGTTTCAGGTTAGGAGAAGTGTTACAGATAATAGACGAATTGGTCATCGATTTACCTAAAATTTGGACTTATCTAGCTGAAATATTATGTAAGTAATATCTCTTCTTTTTTTTTAAATTTACTTGCCACGATTTAACTAGTGAATTTAGTAAATGCAATAATTTCTTTTTAAGTAAGATTAGAGAAAAAATTATTTTCTTTTTTCATGATGAAAATTGCATTTTACACCATAGAAATATGCCGTGCAGGTTATTTTTTGCTCAACAGGTCTGAAAAAAATACAGTAACTCGCTCATGCCACGTAGTTTGATGTCAAGCAAATTGATTAACATCCGTAATAATTTGTATTTCAGCACATTCGATAGAAGAAGAGGCTATACCGTTATCTGAAATGAAGAGCGTGTTTTTAAGTTTGAAACCAAACGGTTTCGTAGGCAAACTTTACGGAGAACTCATGGTGAAAATATCTCATAGCAAAGGACCTAAATGGGTTGCCGATAAATGGGACCAAAGTGGATTGCAATTGAGTAATTTGCTCGACCCGAAACTGGAGGATGCGGACGTAATCATCAAGGACTACGTAAGTATCCTAAGTTGTCTTTTAACAAACAATTTTTAATATATAATCTGATTTAATTTCATTATTTTAATTTCATTTTTTTCTCTACAGAATTTGGGATTCCTAACTGGTGATTGTAATAGTGCCAAAAGCTCCACCGCTGCTAATAGTAACCAACTCACTTTGATCCAAATTCAAGAACATCTCCGAGTGTCTATGCAAGATAATACTTCCTTCGATGAAATGTCTAGTTGGATAAATGTATGTATTCTCAAAAGCCGTGGAACGATCGTGTAACTTTTCCCCTATGTATATACCGCCGCTCTTGAGCACGAATTTACTTATATATAACGCCGTCGAACGGAATGCAAAAATGTTTTTACTCATTTTAGTAGCATTGATGCGAAAATTTAATAATGTATGAATCGATTGGAGTCATAACAATAATTGATAGAATTCTTTGGATGACTTAGAACAAAATTCTAAACAAATAGGAAAAATTTAATATTAATGAAGAAATAATTTATTTTTCATATTTTGATCAATTCCTTAGAATTGTAGTAGTCCTACTCCTTCTATGGTGGATCCCCCATGGCGCATTGCGTCTAAGCACCCGGGAGCTGCCAAAAAATTGGTGTCGACCCCGGGGCTTATTTGTATTATTTGCATTATTTGTATTATTGCTTATTTGTATTATTGCTTATTTGTATTATTTGCACCGGATGAGGAGGGGCAACGGTGGAGACGGGCATACATGGACAGCAGGTCTTAAAGGATAGCAACCTTTGACTTTGAGAGACTGTGACAGCTGTACCATTTGGTACAGTAACATTGTTTCTCTCTGTAGTCGCCGTGCGCTCGGGATCGCGCCAGAGATGTCACTTCCGAACGGCATCTCTGAGCGTTATTTAGGAAGAGGAGAGTGTCGTGAGCGTGGAGCGTCAGGTAGCTCAGTGGTTTAGAGCAGTCGCCCGGCAAGCGAAAGACCCGGGTTCGAGTCCCGGCCTAGCAGGACCGCGCTCTCGATATTTTTCTCTTTCTGGAACGAAAAAGATACGCAGATCTCGAACGCACGGCGTCCCGCCGCCACCTAGTATGCCCTCCTCCTTCTATGGTACCACTTTCCTTCCCTCTTCCCTCCCTCTTTCCTCTTTATCTCAAATGAGTTGCTTGGCATTATTAAAAATGTGGGTAACATTAATAAATTTAAAGTAATGTTATTTTTTTAAGAATTTGTTGACGGGAAAAATGTCCACATCAGGTTTCGAATAATGTGTGTATCCCTGTTTATTTCACTTTTCCTTTTTTTCCTTGTATTTTTGTGCTATCTATAGTTTTTTTTTATTTTTTGCGCTTGAAGGGAATCTTTCCGGAGCGTATAATCTCACTCGTGTTCTCTTTTACTCTCTTACTATCTCTCCGCTTCTTCCTCTCTCATTCTTTCTCGTGGCGCAGCGAGAGAACTGAACGAATCGAGTGCGGAGAGGAGGGAGGAAATAAAATAAAATTCTAATTCTTTCTAAATTAAAAAAAAAATGAAGGAATGACTTCACACACAGGTCGACATGAAATTTATCATATTGTGAAGCCTATAGTTTGTATAAATAATCTAATACGTCAATTTTTTGCCCGAAATCAAGTCTGTGTGCTTAATCATCCGCCATATTTACCTGATTTGGCTCCATATGACTTCTCTTTATTCCCAAAATTGAAATTAAAGTTGAAAGGTGTATGTTTTATTCCAATTTTTTGTTTATTTTATTTAATAAAATTGCTCCGCGCGAAAACCTTTAAAGTTAATTTATTAATTTATTATTTCAGGAAAATGTTCAGACTAGAGTTAAGGATCCGAAGTTTATAAGAAGTTTAATGACTGCCATTTTAGAGACGTCAATAGGTAAGACACATATTTTTATTAGAAAATTTGTAATAATGTTTGCATCTGATGATATATATTGTGTACAGAGCAAAGATGTTTTCGAATCATTTTTGTGTTGTTATGCCAAAAGGATACTGAACCGACTTTTGAAAACAACTTTGCAAAGCTTTTCGAAGTTGCCTCATATTAATATATAATTTTGTCACGCAGAACCCATACACGATACATGGAGACTAAACCAAGATATTTTTATAAGATTGCAAACGCTGATCCAACGTTATGTCGACGCGGACGAGATGTTAGAATTGCAATGTCTTTATGCAATTCAATCTTATATGACGAAGCTCGAATATCCGTCTGGTAATTTCATATTACATACTTATATCTAGTAGTGTATATATGTGTAATAGTAACAGATTTTTCAGTCACTTATAGCGAATTCGGTAGCTTGCACTAGTACACACTGAGTGCGCATTAAGGCTTGTTTACAGTACATTCTTATATTTAAGATCGTGTCTTAAATACATATTTAAAAACATTTTAACTAATAAAATGATTCGTACGGATGTTATATCATATTATGGTTAAAAATATTTGAGAATTATTTAAGACAATCTTTAAATATAATAACATACTATGAATAAGCCTTAGTGCGCACTCAGTGCACACTAGTGCAAGCAACCGAATTCGCTATTACATTATGTCAACATAATCGTGCATTACAATTGTTGATAGATGAAATAACTATTATTCTACTACTCTAACTATTACTCTATAACTATTATTAAGAGATCGTCTGATTTCTATAAAAAAAGAGTACATATATCTTTATATGTTCGCTTCATCGAATAATCACCAGTTGTAACGCACGCCACATTTAGCATATAACGACGATACATAAATACGTGTTTATACTTAATATATTTTAATATACGCAATACGCTAGGATATATATATATATAAAACTTATAAATTTAATGAATATTGTGATCTTATATCAGGTCTCCTCGTCACTATTATAAACTTATTATGGATGGACAATGTGATATCGAGCGACGCATTTTTGACCTGGCATAACGCTAAGGATCCAGCGGAACGTGAGGGACATGCCGTGGCAATGGTTGCTCTTACATCGTTTTTCACTGACCTACAGGAGCCTGATGATAACTCTAGTATCGAGGAATTATTGCCCAAAGCGGACCGGAGTTGCTGTTGACGATATTGTGATCGATTTCATTATCGTCTATTTAAAAGACTCGAATGTGTTAAATAAACACAACGCGCAAAGTGAAATCAAATCTGCAGTTGTGTTTTTTTTTTCATAAACTGGAACACCCCAAGTATTAAAAACAGACACAATAAATATTGGTAAAGTGATACTTGCGGGTGTGTGTAATATAGCCTAGGACCTTTTACATAGGACGCGAAATAAAAAAAAATTAAAAATGGGACACGCATCGATAATATACATAATGAAGATAAACTTTAACTTAACTATTAATTACTACAGAAATAATGCCAGATAATTATTATACATAATTAAATGAGAAATGGTTTAAAGTTTAAATAAAGCAAAAAATTCGAGAATATTATCGTGTTTCTTATGTATATGCAAAGTGTCTCTGCAGTGCGTTAGGTCGATCGCTCAATAGGACTGGTATGTACGTCTTTTTTTCCATGCTTGGAATCGGGAAGACTCGAAGCTGCTTCCAATTATAATACGCTATAACACGGATCACAACCGAAGTGCTTGTTACACGATTTAGATAACGAATTGCAGATCGTCTGAATTAAGTAGGTCAATTTTACATGGATTAAATTCGGAAAGTAAGAAGAATAAAGAAGAATTACCGAGAATAACCAAGTCTGACACTGACAGCGAGACAGATCTTCCTATTATTGTAACGGATATAACAGAATTACTAATTTATATCTTTACAAATATAAGAACTTATACTGTATTATAAGAAAGGACATTCACATGTGAAACATGAAAAGATGGAAAAAAAGTGAAGCGAAAATGGTATATATTGCGGAAATACGATCTGTATTGTAGAATACGAAAGGTAGAAAACGAAAGAATACAAATGGTGTGCATATTAAGGTACTATTTTTTAACACTAGCTATTTATAATCACGGAGTGAGTGGATGTGTGAACAAATGTGTGTATGTGAAAGAGATAGAGGCAGAGAAAGAGAAGTGAGCTGAGCACAATGCGTGGAAACTTTTGGATGTATCCACGTGACAGATACTATAGCGAATTGTATAAAATTGTTATTAAACTGATTTAAGGTACAGCGTGAACTCAACCTTGTTTTAAGCGTGCCCGCGCACGCGCGCATAGAAGAAAGAGACAACAAAACGACAAGCATAGATTGATTTGAGTATGTGTGTACAGATGTGTATGTGTGAAAGAGAAGAGAGATAAAAAAGAACATTTATATTTATCCGGCACCCCATCGCTGTTTAGCGTCCCACGATTTGTCGTACCTGTGTAAAGGTATCTTAAATATTTTTTTGGGAAATTTCAAACATTTTTCGAAAGTATCGACATAGGTGTACTTTATAAAAAAAATTCATACCAGGAGATTCTTTGCTTTAATTTTTTCCCAAATTTTTTGGAATCGTGAATCGACAATTTTTGGAATAGGACACACATGTAACGAAATTAATTACGGACTTGCAAAAAATTACTCGAAATTTAGATACATATATAGCTGTGGATATTGTATATATAAATATATTATTATTATTTGAAGTATACTAACGATCTGCAATATGTTTCACAATCTCTCAGCTCGGACGAGTTATAAATGTTCACCACCACTCGCAATGTTTCCTGCTATTATCCTTTCCTCAATCTTTTTGTATAAATCTTTCGTTTTCTCATTTCTTCTCTCTTTTCCTTTACACGGCGATCCCGCCTGATCTGTCGCTGACATAACTCTCTCGGCTTGAGAGTTTGCGGTGCGAAATGCAGAAGAGTCCCGATGCGAATGGCGTAGAGCAAAACGAGGTGATTCGCCAGTGAACAAGCGAAGGAAGAACAAAAGAGCTTTTCCTTCGGTCTATTTTTTCTCTATTTCATTTATATCGGCCAATACATATGAAGAAACGAAGAGTAAAAGGCTATTAGTAAGCGCGGTAAGAAAGAGAAAGTGAAATGTGCGCGAGTGTGTATACATGTGTAAGTGGTGCACTTCACGAGAGACTAGTTAAATAACAAAAAAACTAATTTATATATGAACAAAGTGGAAAAAAAAAGGAAACTGTTGAAAATATTGTGGATAAGTGAGATAACGACTAGAGAAGTTATCATTGTAAATAACTGATCGCGCGAGACTGTAAACGGAAAATTCAAACGGGGATTATATATATATATATATATATATATATATTATACGCGGGGAACGACGGCAGCGAAGCTGCGCCGTCCTCCGTGGATGTCGCGTACATGTCGTGCTGTTGTCACACGTGACGCACGCCGACATTTCTTCTCTCCCCCGCGTACGAACACGCACGTATATTTGTTGCACATACATTTATATATCTGCGTGTACTTACGCGTGTGTATACATAGATTTACATATACATAATATAAATAAAAAAAATATCGCTCTAAGGACGCGGATTTACGTCGCATAGGTATAACACATACACTTCTATATGATATAAATATATAAATATATATATAAATCATATCTATATAAAAATAAAAAAAGAACTCCATGAAAAACCGTTGTTGATATTATTTTCCTCCAAGAGCGCATAGTTTTGTTGAAAAAAAAATGTAATGTTAACATCTCAGATAACACAAAATGTATGATGTCCTGAGGTCGTTCTGGATGTATTTATGAAGTTTGAGGACACTTTTCAAAACATCCTGAGTGATTTTGATATTTTGTGCTATCTGGGATTTAATTAAATACGTGCGAGACATGTTAAAACAGAACTTAACTACTTAAGTTATACAACGAAAAATGCAATTTTTTTCGGTTTTTGGACTCAGGAGATTTATTTGCATGTCCTGCGCATAGATACATTCGAATTCGTTGTCCACATACAATCGATCGCGCTGTTTTATTCAACCGACGAATGAGAGAAATTCAGTATGTTCGAGGACTCTTTTTCTTAATATTTATAGTAGCGAATAATTAAAAGTAGAAACGTAAAGCGTCTTGATCGCGTCGCGTAATACGGATTATTTTCATTATTTCTGTAGCTTACGCATTACTGTGCGATTCTTGCATATTGTGACGTTTCAACGAAAGAGAGTTTATTGTAAGCCGGAGGACCGTCGGAAGTGTGCGGACGTGGCGAAAGGACCTTCATCGGCGAATCCTGCGATCTCCTGAGGAACTATCGCGTATTCTTCTACGCTAGTGCACGGTCTGCACATGCATTCCAACGGCGCCTTCGTGATCACCTGTCAAACAGACACGGGACACGGATTTGACACGTGAATTCGTGGCGAGATATCGTTGTAACTTATCTCTTTGCGCGCGAAGTTGTTCACTATTGTCTGAAAAATCATTTCGTTCGAATCCCCGAAAAACCTTGCAAAGAGTGAAGGTAGAAACGATCGAAATCGCGTGCATCGAGTCAGCTTCGATCTATTTCGAGTCTATTTTAAAATACGCGCGATGCTCACGTCCGATTGGCCGCCATCGTCGGCCGCGCACAAAAACAATATGGCCGCGCAAAACTCGTGGTGTCGGAAAGGCTGTAATCGCTGATTTCGGACTAGTGATGGTCAGTGGCACAAACAAATGGTAGATGTGTGACGTTCACCGAGACTCTTGGCCAGCTGATCGCACCGTTGATATTGCGTCGCCGGGTCGCGGATGGAGGCCAACTCACCTTTCTGAACTTCTTTTCTCCTGGTTTCGCTCTTGGACAGAACAGAGACACACTAGCCTCTCTCTCGCCGCTTTCCTGACAACACATGCAGCTTCTCTCCATTTGCCACATTTTGGATCCGGACACCTGTGCGTAAATAAGTTGAACACACATCGTGCGTGTGGATATATTACCGTTTTCTTGTATTTATGCATACGTGTAGATATATATTTGTATACATATATATCTTGTATGCAAAAAATGATTATCAGATTTTGTCAAGTATACATACAAGTAGATCTGAGGTATTATTATTTGTATTGTTTTTCTTAAACCGTTAGTCTGTCTTTAGTATATATAGTTTATAGAAAGTGAGCATCTTCTATTGTAGTTGTTAAAAATCATGAGATGTACATAGGAGATGCATCCATCTTTGTATTGAAGTGCTTTTGAAAACATTTGTACAAGATATTGTGTACTTATGTAAGTTATTTCTTATAATTAATGGGATATTAATCACTATTAAGAAACTTGCAAGAGATATTATCTATTGAACAAAGTTATTTATATAGGCAACGAATAAAAGCAACACATTTACCTTGATGAGTTTTGCAATGCATTTTATATCTAATAGAAAAATATATTCTATGAAAATTACTAAAAAATTAAACTCTATTGAATACTAAATGTATTGAGAAATTCATCGAGATAAGAATGTTGTAACCTTTTATCTATATAAATTGTACATTGCACTATCATTATACCATAATTCATAGAACTGCAGATAGATGTACATAACTGTACTTTATAAGATATATATACTTTATAAGATTTTTATTAATTGATTCTGTTATCTTACCTGCAGATAACTGCTACAACGTCCTCTGCATGCATAACTAGGGATTGGTTTTGGAACACAACCTGGATACTGAAGGATGTGTATCACACGTGTCGCCTGACATTCGTCGACTCCGATAATCGCCTTTGAGCTTCCATATAGTAGACATATCAGCAGTCCATTGATCACTGTGCCCAGTAAGTAGATATTATTATCTATTTCACGCAACATGCGATCGCAACATGCGATCGAGGAAGATAACTCGGAGAATTTGATTTATTTTAGAAATATCGCAATATATTCGCTAGCTTATTCACCAAGGTAACAGAGTTTGCTTCTTGAACGGTACATTGCCTCCCTTTTCTGGCACTTCACTGTGCCGATAACTCTCCTGTCCTTAGCTTTTATACACCATAGGTGGTCATGTTCTCCCCCTTTCTTTGCTACCACATTTTAGTCAGAATCACTATGTGTATATATATATATATATATGTGTATGTATATATATATATATATATATATATATATATATATATATATATATATATATATATGTGTATATATATGAAATTACTAAAGAAAGTATTTTCTGACATGTTTGCCCTGAATTTATGTATGTAGCATTTAAGATTTTCCGATTGTTACAACAATCGAACAGTTTCACTCCATTTAGACATTCTAATATATATATTCAAATATGAAGAACACAACACTTTATTTTATATAATTTAATTCATATATATAACTTTATTTTTTAATCTTAAGTTTTTGTCTTCTTTGATGAAATATCTGATTTTGATACAGTTGTGTTGTTATAGTTGATACAATTTGTGTTAATAGAGTTAACACAATATAAGATTGCTCCCGATGACATGTGATTTGATTTATATAAATACAACATATAATTTATGAGAATATATAATTAGATACTGACTGTATAACACTTTATATAAAAATGTATTTTGTAGATATGTAATTTTTGTATATTTGTACAGTATCATATTGTACTATGAACTATGAGGGGATAGATTTCATACAAATGTTTCTGCATAAATTACCTAAACCAGGCAATGCTCTTTATTTGTGATGAGTTGTTTAAGTAATTTTATTTCTATAATTTAAGAGTTAAGTTTTTAAAAGGAAAATTTCTAAAAAAACTGTTAACTGTTTATGTATAAGCAATTAGGTATGAAATTAGGTATGAACCACTTTTCTGCATACTTACTAAAGTTAAATGAATATTTTCATTCTACTTTTGCAAATACTGCAAGCCTCTGAAGATCTTTTGACCTCTTTTTTAAGACATTATTATATATTATTAAATTCTTTAGTCATTAAAGTCTCTTAAAGTAGACTTACAAATAAAATACATTTTTGTTGTAATTACATAATCGAAAATAAGTGACTTTTACTCTTTCAGAATTTAATTGTCATTTCTTGCTGTAGTTTAAGATTTAACGTTAACTATGCTAGTAAACAACCGAGTCTTCTTATCTATCTGCATCCTTGCATATTACTTCGTCAAAAGGCCAAAAGTCTTTCTTAATCTCGCAGAGCTTATAGACTTCTGCTGATATTTTTGTCAGCGAGAAATTGCTTTTATCCTCGATAAAGAATATCGTAGCATTGAATAAATATATTCTGTATGTGGTCGATAGGCGAAGAAAAATACACAGCTCCTTAGAATGAAATAAGCGTATCGATCTTTTATTCAAATGATTTGTATTTGTCTCGAAGTATGCAACGGTACACAAGAGTAATTTCTATATACACGTATCTTCTATGTGGATATTAAAATTTGCAACATTTGATAGAAAGCAATCTTTGTATTTTTATATTTATTATCGTTGAAGAAACGCAAATTTTCGTATGTCAGGATTACAAGTATATTATTAGTACAAATAAGTCGGGGAAACTTATTTTTGCCGTGATTACAATACACCTTTATCTTTTCATCTTATCTTAACAATATACAATAGTTACGCAATAGTTTATAATCATCTCTGTTTCGTTTATATAATTCGACATCGGTTCTTATCTCGCAAGGTCGCCACATTTAATGCATTTACATTCGGCGGGTTCGCGTATCTTGATCTCCATGATCTCGTCGTTTGTGTCTATCAATCGGATCCCGTCTGCATCAGAGCATTGATTCAAGATAACGGGTCTTTCTTTTAAGTAACTTTCACGACAGCAATAGCATTCCTGTAATAAAGAGAAGATTACAAGTCAATGTCTTTGAGAGAGGCTCCTATTCTGCATGAAATTACTTTCGAGAAGCCTGTAGTAGTGATAACACTTGGCTGCACTTGAGAATTACAAAATCCTTCGCATTTGGTGACTAATATCTCGCCGCTGCATGTTCTTCGCAGACGTCCTATCTCGTCGTATTCGTCTTTGGTGATCCGCACTTCCGTCTGCAGGGTCTCGCAGCTCTCGTCATCTATTACTTCGGCGTCGTTGACCGTAGCGTAAACCGCGAGGATCAACAAAGATTTGGAGGATAGCAACATTATAATATCGTTCTATCGATACTTTTCTCCGGCAGAGTCGCCGCAGAGCTTTCCGGGTGAAATGAAAGAGCAGAGAATCGAACGAATGCTTTTATAGGTAATATCCCACTTTCGATCACGTGTAAAAGCCAAGATTCGCGATGATCCCCCGCTGCCTTAATAGCATTCAACAGGCGGGGGGTAACGAACCCCCTGCTCTCAGGGTTCTTGTAGCGCGACGCTCGATTTTCCCTTCCTCGAGACGTTATTTTTTTTTCAATATTTTGCATCATGTGGCTAATGGGCTTTTTATGTCTCACGGGCGCGGTAGGTGATCATATTTAAGTAATATAATTTACCTCTCGCGTGCATCGCGATATATATTTACGTTATATTCCGAAAAATATTTATAGTACATTCGACAAAATAAACAAAATAAACAAAAGGAAATGTATTTTACAGCAACGTGTCGACAATTGATCGGTATCAGAGTTCTTCGCTGTTTAGCATCGGTAAAAATTTCTACGCCTCTTTACACTCGTCATTTACATTCAATGATCGTTTCTCGTATTCCCCGGACAATTGTCTCTTAAATCGTCCTCGTCGTCGAACTTCATTCCACACCAAATGCAATAAAAGTGTTTCTTCCTTAAATATTTGGTGAGAATCTCGAGTTTCTCCAGATTGCTAAGGTCTTCGTCGTCTGTATCAGCGTCATTCGACTGTTGATCCTGATCGGTGTTATCGTCAGTCTTTTCTTCCTTACTTTGTGGCCAGAACCACGATTCCTCAGGTTCTTTGATGCTCTCTTTAGTGTCCAATTCTTGGCATACTTTTTGGCTTTTGAATATATCAATCTTCTGCAATTGCTCAGCCCTTTCTTGCGCTATTCTGCTACGGAAATACGTCGTGTTCATATTATCCAATTTTGCATTCGCGTTCTTGCGATTACACGATTCATTTTTCTTTAGTGTTTTGCCTAAACCCTGCCTGTCGCCCTTTACTTCCACGGGAATCGGCTCGACCATCCCTGACTGAGTTTTGCCTATGCCTTTCCCAGGTTTATATCCCATCTTCATTAGCATTTCGAAACCTGTGGATGAAATAAATTATTGAGATTAATTTCTTCATTGACAAAATCACTTTATCTGATATTTTTCTTGTACACTTATTTGTTCTATATATTTTATATATGTATAAATACAGACCTTTATTAGTACTGTTGATAGCAGATGATAATCCTTCTTCTCTTTTTTCTGCCTCAACTACTCGCATTGACTTATTCTTCTCCTTCATTCTTGATTCAATTTCAGCCTTCTTCTTCATTAACGCATGCTCTCTTTTGTCAGAGTGCCTGTGTATGAGGCTTGGTGGGACATCTTTCTCAGAGCCCAGCAAGAATTTGTCAGACATGTAATCCTCGTCGTCTGACATCATGTAGAATGAAATTATCAGTTGTTGCAGGGAAACACTTTCTAAAACATTAAAATTTGCATAATAGATGTTATTGTAAGATCAAATCTTAGTACAAGCAAAGTGGCACATAAAAATATAACTTCAATCATTAATGCAGTACTTTAAGCCCAAATCTACAATGTGTCCTTTGCTTTCCGTTTCTTTCTCTTTATTTCTTTTTGATTTAAACCTTAAGCTAGAAAAAGATAGAGAACAAAGAACAATAAGCAGAGAGCATTTTGAGGTCAGACATAAAAAAATCGCATATAATATCGTCGACAACTTTAATAATGATTTATACCACAAAAAGAAACAAGTTTTTTAAGAAAATTAACAAGTTCGCTACCATAATTTATTTAGAAAATTTCCTCCATAAATCACATTAAATTTGTTTTCACGTAATTGTACAAAACAAAGTTGGTTATATTTACATTCGGATATACAAAGAAAAATATCGCAATTATACACATATGACGTTGGCAATGCGAACATGTTAAATAAAATTGAAAATTTAAAATAAAGATGAACCTGAAGTGAGAGAAGTCTCGCTGGTAACGAATGTGTTAATAATTTACAACAAGCGATGCTCGATGTGCACTCCCGTAGTTTGAGGTTATGTCAAAGTTTTAAAGGCCACAGTGGTGCCGTTGGAAAAGTTGATTCCTGCAAATCCGCAGAACAAAGAGTCGCTGTTTCCGGCGTACGGAAAGTCTTGTCAACGATACTCATTCGAGCTGAAATTGCTGCTCTATGAACGATCGCTCAACTTGTCGCTCATTGCGCAACTTCTGACTTTTAAACTCTGTTGTTCCTTTTATAAACGGCCTAGAGCCCGACATATGTTACGCTCGCGTTTTTGGATATTGACGATAGCCAAGCATCGGATATACATATTTAATGAGTTACATCCGTTTCATGACACGCGCGACGTGCGGTGGATATTATTTCCGTGATATGGAGTTATTTTCCGATCGCAGTCGCGTATACGTCTGAAGTGAGGTAGGCATGTTCCCCTCCTGGTCCCGCCGCGCCGCGCGCCATGGCGGTGGTCGATGAGACGGTGGAACGCGGAACCGAACGACTGCGGAGCAAGGGAACGCGAACCATTGTGTTTCCACGGGTCGTACGTCGTCCGTGCGCGATACCTCTCATCCGATCCCGAAAGATAGACTCGCCTTGCGCTCTGTATTCGTCGATCGTCCGATTCGTCTCGTCGTAGTTTCGATCGCGACAGGGCGGCGTCGCCTTCGCATCGTTTCCGTCATGCGAGTGAGTGAGTGAGTAAGCGAGCGAGCGAGCGAGCGAGCGGGCAAGTGAAAGAGAAAGAGAGAGGGAAAAAGAGAGAGGAGCTCCAGCGCTAGGCCAGACCCGATGTGGAGAATTACGCACGGATGAAATTACGCGAGAACGCGACAAGGTTCGACGTGTTCTGTCTGTGGCACGGCGAGACGTCTCGCGGCGAGATCCGCTCGCGTCTCGGACGTTCCGCTGTTCCGCACAAATCGTAGCAGATCGATTGATATCGGGTGCGTGTCGTGATTGCGTGAGTGCGTGCGTGCGTGCGTGCGTGCGTGCGTGCGTGCGTGGGTTCCTTCCGGATCGCCGTTCGCAGAATTTCGCTGGTCTTCGGGATCCGCCGGGTGCACGCACCGCGAATGTGCCGACGAGTCGCGTCGACACTCGACGCTGCTGATCCGGACTTGAGGATCTCCCGACGAAAATAAAGAGAGACGCCGCGAGGGAGTGAGGGATATCTTCATTGAAGAAACATGCCGAGCACAGTGTCGTCACGGCTGATTGCGCCGAGCACTGGGTCCCGAAAGGTCACACCGCGATCCTCGTGACCGAAGGATCAGAGCGGCGTTTAGTGATCAGCGCGACGCGGTGAGCGCGGGGAGCCGTGCGGTTAGGTCGCCTACCGTTCTCGCGGTGCGCGAGTTTTCCAGCGTTCTCTCGCTGCGTCATCTCGGAATTGATATCTTTCGGTACAGCTGTTGGAATCTGTCTCGGAGGAAGACACATCCGTCTCGGCTATGGTTGTAGCTAGCAGCAGCGGGTGGGTACAAAATGCCAGTTCGCCCGGCGGGCAGAACAACAACAACAACAACAATAGCAACGTGAACCAAAACAAGGCGCAGAAAAAGATGACCGCTAAGGGTATCCTGATCTGCCGGGACAATTCCCACCCGTTCCAGGAGCGTACGTTGACTCTCGAGCAGCCGGTGAAGATCGGCCGTTCGGTGGCCAGGGCGAGAGCTGCGCCGAACAACGCGATCTTCGACTGCAAGGTGTTGTCAAGGAATCACGCGTTACTGTGGTACTCCTCGGGTAAGTTTTACCTGCAGGACACGTGCAGCAGCAACGGCACGTTCGTCAACAATCAGAGACTCAGTGCCTCGGGCTTGGAGTCGATGCCCAAGGAGGTGTGCTCTGGCGATATAGTGCAATTCGGTGTGGACGTTGTAGAAAGTACAAAGAAAGTTACCCACGGATGTATAGTTGCAACGTTGAAATTGTACTTGCCGGACAGCAAGGAAGCTAAGGCCAGCTTGAGCACCTCTGTCAGCTCGCCTGCCAGCAACGTGTCCTTGGAGGATCTCTATAAGCTCAACCATCTGATGCAAGAGGCCTCCAGACGTGAGAAAGCCCTGCAGTCAAAGCTGGGCTACCTGCAGCAACTCGTGGAGAACACGCGGAAGGCCGCCAACCAGTCCTGGAAAGCATTGATCACGGAGGACCGTCTGCTGTCGTGGGTAGTCACTGTCGAGAGCCAGCTCGCGGTCTACTCTAAGAACTACACTGACGACAAAATCAGAAACGAGCTGGTCAAGCTGCAGGATGAGAAGGCGCAGTATCAGAACGCCGCGAAGGAAGCGCTACAGAAGATTTTGCAGGAGAAGCTGGAGGTCACACAGAGACTTGTGCAGCTGGAGGGTCGTCTGAGTGAGACTGAGGAGGAATGCCAGAGCCTGCACAATGTGGCCAAATATACGCAGACGGAACTGCAGGAGCTCAGCGCCAAGTACTCGGAGACGCAGAAGAAGCTCCAAGAAACCATCGACAAGCTTGTGGAGAGCGAGGAAAAGGTGAGGGACGTGTTGCTCGGTGCGGAGCAGGAGAAGCGCGACCTGGCTAAGCGTCTAGAGGACCAGTCGAGAATCGAGAAGAATCTGCGAGCGAGATTGCGTGACTCTCGTCTGGATTCTGTCAACATCTACAAGCAGATCACCGCCCTGAGGAATTACGCGCAGACCTTGCAGGATATGAAGCTGGAGGTGGGCGAGAATCTCGACTCGAAGGGCGTGGAGGATCCTATACAGGCTATCAACACCATTCTCAACAAGCTCAACTCCATTCACATGGACAACATCGAGATGGATATCGACATCAGCTGCTATACCAAGGGCGAGCCGGACAATCAGAGCTCATCCGACGTGGACTCGAATCAGCTCAAGTCTGCCAACTCCGACCTGTCTTTCAGCAAAGACCGACTGGACGATCTGCAGACCGCCGACAACCTCACGGAGTACATCCTGCCGCCAGCACCGTTATCGTCGTCCAGGAGAACCCTGGTCAACGGCAACGCCGACCTGGACAACGCGGATTCAGGCGCGGACTCCGATACAAACTCGGAGGCGACCGACGACACGTGCAGCATCGACACGAGCGATGAAATGAGCGAGAAGACCGTCGCAGAGCACAAGGAGGAACTCTTGTCCAAGCAGACACTTGCATCCTGTAAGATGGAGGTGCGATTCGCCAATACCGAAGGTGTTCAACACGCGGAGTTCCATTACGAGCCGATCGAACAGATCGCCTACATCACGGAGATCTCGCGCGAAACAGCTGCCGATGTCGGGGACACGTCGTCGAGCAGCGTCACGCTCGTCGACGGGGCTGCGGAAGAGCGGGATCGTTCGACCGAGGAAGCGGCGACAGGCGACGTCACCTCGGACTCATCGGAGAACGAATGCGAGGAGCGCTTGGAAGGCGACTACGTGAAAACTCTGAAGCCCGCTACGAAGAACGACGCGATGCAGCAGGGTTATCACAGCAGGGAGTACATTCTGCAGACGTTGATCGGCTCGTTGGACAGTCTCACGAGCGAGGACAGCCTAGAGGCGCAGCAGGTTGTCAAGCGTGAGCTGGACGAATTGAAGGACTGGCTGACGCGTGAGTCCAGCGACGTCGTGTCCGACAAGCTGCGGGAGCTGTACTACCTCTCTAAGAACGACTCGCAACGTATGCTGGAGATCAACGAGGAGTTGGTCATAGTGAAAGAAAAGTACAATACGATCATCGAGGAGAAAGCGGAGCTGTCGAGGAAATACGGTGCGCTGCGGGCGCAGTGCGGCGATCTGCTGAGCGCGACCTACAACGTGCCGATACACTATGTCGCCCCTATCGCGATTATGTTGGTGTGGATGTTGCTGGAGAAGATATTCTAATGTCCCTTCTCTCCTCCGCGTCCCCCACCACCCCCTGATGTTTCCTCTTTCTGGTATATATGTACATATAACACGCACCGTCGATCGATATTGCTCTTTTCTGCCCTTTCTTCATATCTCTTCCGTTTTCCTTCATCTTTCTTTTATCTTCCCGTTTTTCGTCTCTTTTTGTGTTTTCTTTTCCTTCGTTTCCCTCTTTTTTTTCTTAACAATGTTAAGGATGCAACGGCAAAATTTCTTAAACTAACTGACCAGTTTCGTCGATCGAGTGTGCGATTAGATTCCCAGCACAGGAACGCTTAAGCATCTCGATATGCGATCTAACGTTTTTTACACGAACAAATGCTAAGGATTGTATATACTTGTTTAATTTCCCCGTCCGACAGTTGCGGGCGGGTTTCTAAGCGGGGTTTGGGGGGAGGGGGGGACTGATTTCTCGTGATTAATTGGAAGTTGTCAAGTGAGCGAGTGTTGCGTTACCACAAAGAAGGAGCCAAGATCAAAGGACAGGGCAGGAATGTTTATACTGGATGTATGTGTACATATGCGATGCAGGTATACATATATGATTAAATGTGTATACATATGTATATGGCTACATGCATATGCATACACATGCATACGTATATGTACAAACTTTCGAACAAGAACGGCTTAGAACGCTCTAGGGAACAGAGAGTGGCTGGGTGACAAGAAAGGAAAAGAAAGAACGTAGAGGTGTGATACCACGTGAAATGTTCAACATGCTGCCAAGCCGCCGAGCGTCATATCTCGTAAATACGGCTTCAAGTCCGATTTGTAATATTAATGTGTTTTATTGTACGTGTTTCATTGTTGGTTTGTTTAAATGTTACGTTTCTAGCACGGCGTATTTGAGAAATTAAATATTATCCTTTGCGACTCGCTCTCTTAGAGGGACAGACGAGAGGGAAAGAGAGATATCACCGCCATTCTCTCGACTGCTCGCAGATACTTTTTCTTCACTCCTTATTCTTGTATATAAATAATGGTAAGAAGTAAACTCGGCGTTCGCGCGCGCGTGTAAACGATTACATACTCAAATCATGTGTACCACTCGTTAGGTAACACGCTTCGTTTAAGACTTTAGTTGGGAGTTAGTTACGACGTTATAGAAAATGTAACTTTTGCAATGAGAGAAGAGGAGAGAATAAAAGAGAGAAAAAGAGATATATAAATATATACATATATATATATATATATAGAATCGTCGCGCTCATGCGTGTCACGTGCATGCGTATTACATATGTTACAGCGTTGCTCTCGACTTCTCTAACCATAAGCCCATTAAACCTCAAACAAACATTCTCGCGAAACACATCGTGCGTACGCGATGGATCTTCACATGTCCGATCACGTTGCACAATGATACTTTACGTCGTCCGACTTCAATTCTTCTTATCGTATCGTATGGGGTAGCATGACAATATAAGAGCATATCTCGTTTTTGAGCGACCTAATAAATGATAAGCGAGTACATACATACACATATACACACACGCACACTCTCACTCACTTCTTGGATAACTTCTCATATACTCACTTCTCGGATAACGCGAATTCTTCCCTCAGCACTCGGTAACCGTTCTCTATCGATCCTATCTTGGAATGGCCTTGAACGTCACCTGCGTCTAAAGCGAAGAATAGAAAAAAAAAAGAAAATCCGATAATCGTAGTTTTCTATTAATTCTTTTGATACGAACGAACGTGAGCGAAAACGAAAAAAAAGGAAGAAAAAAATTCGACAGTATTTTCTTAATTCGTTAGTTTAGTTAGAGAGAAAGAGAGAGTGCCATCGCCCACAGTGCGCGTCTACTTCTGAACCGCGTCGAATAACGAATCATTGTGTATCGATGAACAAAGGTATACGTGATACTTTCCAAAAGGGCACGCTCCGCGGGCCCAGAGCAACGGGGGACACGTCCATCATCGAACGTCGTCGCGCTCAGTCGCTCCTTGGGTGCTGCTTGCCTTCTTGGCAGGTTAAACGTATAATATCAAAAACAATTACAAGATACGATATAAATAAATGCTCTGTACATAGTACTGTTGATATAATCTTACTACTGATGTAATAGTCATTATATAAAAAGGGAAAATAAAAATTAACTTAATTCATTAAAGTCAGTCGTATGTGTTCTTGTATTATGTTGTTGCTTTATCGCAACCTACTGTTTATATTTCCAACATTTGTCGTTATTTCGATAAGAAAATGTCGACGTACAGATTCAAGCTGCCTGACAGCTGCTCATCGTGTATGACTGATTATAGTTTATCGTAGATGCTAATTTTGAATGAAACGATAATTTTGTCAACGTCTCTTTGTTACCTCGACATTATAACAGCGCACGTTGGTCGTTCTCTCCCTATTTCATCCGAGAATTCATGACCTTCTCTTTTCACCAGACTAGAGCGGAGTTGTCTTCCTCGTCTCGCTCTCAACACACTAATAATACTTATTCTGTATATTTTTAAAATCATCGTCATCTTTTTCCTTTATTCAGGGGCGCGCACGTAATTAGCCGCATTTAGCCGTTGGTCGGTCGATTGGAGGTGTAGACGACGCGACGCGACGTCGTACGCCTTTATTATGTACTATCGATGAAAAAGCTGAAGAAAAAATTGGACAACGGCACAGGTACGTCGTCAGGATCACCATCGCAGCAGCAGCAGCAGGTGGTCGTCGGGATGGCGGGCGGATTGAACGTGAATGCGACGGACACTTCCGAGTCCGCGAGCCGGATCTGTAGGGACTTCTTGAGGAACGTCTGCCATCGGGGCAAACGTTGCAAATATCTACACGAGCGATCCGAGGACGATCCAGTGGAGGAGTACACCTTCTGCCACGATTTCCAGAATGGCATGTGCAACTGGCCGGGCTGCAAGTTCCTCCACTGCACGGAGAGCGAAGAGAAGCGCTTTCGGGCGACTGGCGAGCTACCGCCCCATGTTCTCAACCGACCCAAGACTGGCAACGGCGACAAGTCGGACTATCCTTTGTGCAAGGATTTCATTAAGGGTAGCTGCCAACGGGCGAACTGTAAGTTCAGGCATTGGAAGAAGGAGGAGCCGCAGCATAACTTAATATCACCATCTCATCACAACGCGTCCAGGCCGCAGCATAACTTCAATGGCACCAGCAATGGCGGTGGCGCCGGCGCCGATGGTCGCAGATATGAGGAGGATAGAAAGTAAGTGTTAATGGATTTTTGTACTTTTGGTGTAAACTCGAGAAAAGCAAGCGCTTTCAAATCAGAACATTTTCACATTTTACGTTAAACTCTTGCTAAGCTTTGGATTCTGCTGAACGCAGCCGTTGACTCTAAACAGCGTGCATTCTCAGTCTCTGATCGTCACTCGTCTCTTTTCAGCTTTCATTGGCAAATAGAGGATCAACATAACAATTTGGTGACCAACAACGGTTACAACACGTCATCGCATCCGGCCGATTACATGGGACCGCCGGAACCGAAAAGACGAATAGTATCGGGCGAGACAGTCGTCCACTTCGAGGCGTCTCCGCTTATGGGTCAGCACGCTACCCAACCCACTGTCACGTCTGGTTACTATTACCCCGTGATAAGTAACGAGGCACGTGCGCTCGTGCTTGAAGATGAAAACACATTTTTGAGGAAGAAGATAGAGGATTTGAAGAAGCAGGTGAGGTATACGTGAGGGTATAGATTCGCATATTTTCTTCCTTTTCTTTCTCCCTCTCTCCTTTCTGTCTATCTCTCTATTTCTTCGTTCCAATTTTCTCAACTTCATCGTCTCCGTTCTATTTTTGCTTAGGTCAGCGACCTGACGGCGACGAATGAATTCCTGTTGGACCAAAACGCACAGCTGAGAATGTCGGGCAAGCGGACGAACGTCACCGCGGTAACGGTGCCGGCGGTCACAATCACAAACACAGTGCCGCCGTCGCAAGCACCGACGCCTCAGCAAATGGTGAACGCGGCGGTTGCGGCGGGCACCCTTCGCACCGTCGCTGCCAGTGTGGCTACCGTTCCGGTGAGCATCGGTACCGTGGCACCAGTCTCCATGGCAGCGGTCTCCATGGCACCGGTCTCGATGCCGCCGCCCATCGTCACCATGGCACAGCAGACTATCTCGATGAGCGGCTCCGGGCCTCAAGCGACTAATCAACAACCGCCTAATACACAACAACCCGCTAGCTTACCTCTATCAATATCCGCCGCAACTGCGCCCCTCGTCTCTTATCCTATCATGTCTCAAGAGCTCAGGCCTGTTCTGCAATAGGTCACCGTCGCGAGACTTGGAAGAATACTCGGGTTGGGATAAAACATCGATACATGCATACGATACCTCTTTGCTGTCATGGATGACTCGAGGATGCAATGTGTAGATTTATCTGCCGACTATATGTATTTCCTTCGTGTCTACGTTCTATCTCGTATCTCTCGATGCGACTGGTCGATAGCACCACGGAGGATGGAAATATATCTCTAGATCAAACGTTAAAAGTCTATCCAGTGTAGGTAAGATAATCTATCTATCCAGTCTAGAGACATTGAAAGGTCTATCCAGACAAATGTGCATGATCGCGTAAAGCATATGCGCGAGGAAATCGACTAATAATCATGATCGGTGTAGTATATAAAAGGATGCTTTTTACATTAAACACACAATCGATCGGTTTCCTTGTGTATACGTTATACAACGTAAATTTGTCTGAATAGACAATTCAACAATTAATGTTACACGAAGTCCGATAGAATGTCATGAAGGAAACAAACGCCAATTGTTCAATTTAAAAACAGGATCTTTTAGCCGAGACATCGGCTACCTTTGTCCGTCGACAATAGGAATCGAGAATACGATATCTGTACACGCGATATATTTATCTTGTCCGGAAAGAGAAGCGTTTCTTTCCTCTGTGAATAATGTCTTGGAGGCATAAAGATCGATAATACGGTAAATATCCGTCGGCAACGCGCATCGGCGGTTATGTGTGTCCAAAGTGTGTATAGTTGTAGAAATAATAGAAGCGACAATCTGTAATCATGCAAGATATCTGTATCATGACATTACGTTCTTTTGCATTTTCTTTTCTCTTTTTTTTTTTTTTGTTTAGTGTCATGTGTAATTTTATTTTTAAGCTTTCATTTTCGCGTAAAGCTTAAAACTTACATATATGTTTACTCAAATAAGCAGATGAGAGTCATCATAAAATTGTAAAGTAAGAAAAGGTCTAAGTAGAGAAAGTTCGTTCAATACGTTAGGTTAATACGTTAACATATAAGCATAAAGTAAAATAAAATATATGAATTTAACATGTTAAGAAAGAGAGTGTATAAAAAAAAGAAGATGGTTCGGCGCCGTTTTAAGCTAGTCTGATGAAACGTCGTTGTACCGTGCTGTATGCAATGTTGTATATAGTATCTCGTTACTCTTATTTATTCGAGAAAAATTTTATACTCCTACTTGTAACGAGAAAATTGTATGGTAATTTACGCTATAGTGATATTTCGATCAGTTAAGTACTTATATACGGATACATATATGCACCGGTGTGTATTATTTAAGCGGGAAGCACACACTCTTGCATAAAGACATAATGCACACGCATAAGAAAATTGACCAATCAGAATCCTCATTTCTATTGCTACGATGAAAATGAAGGACTCTGATTGGTCAATTTTCTTATGCGTTATGCTTTTATGCAAGAGTGTGTGCTTCCCGCTTTACAGTTGAATACGTTATTTGGCATAGTGGACTATTTGGAATACAATTTAATAGTTGATTGAGTACTTATTAACTGTTTTCTATTATATCTATTATACAACATTGATGTGCATTATTTGCAGTTTATACAGTTTACTATTATTATTGATATGTTGGGACTATAATTATCATAGTTGCAAGATATCTTCCATTCTCCAGGATATTTTTATTGTCATTTTTATTATATGATAAGGTTGTTATGATAAGATTGTGGTTCTACCCTAAAATTATCAAAGATTGTAGCCTAAATCTTTGTCAATTGTGGTAGAACCACAACCTTTTCATATAGCAATAAAAATGACAATAGAAATGTCCTAGACAATAAAAGGTATCTCGCAACTATGAAAATTATACTCCCAACATGTCAATAATAAACTGTGTAAACTGCAAATAATGCAAATCAGTGTTATGTAATAGATATAATAGAAAACATATAATAGAAAATTAATTAGTACTCAATTAACTATCAAATTGTCTTCCAAAGTCCAATATATCAAATAACGTATTTAACTGTAAATAATACACATCAGTGTACATATGTATCAACTATAAAATTGACTTATATTACACACACAGTTTTTTTGCCAGTTTCTTTAATTTACTTAAACAGGTGGTCATCTCTCATTTCTTTTCTAAGGATAATAGGGTAAAAGAAATTAAAAATTTACACTTAGCTCTGTACGTAAATGCATAAATTATACACACATACACACACACACACATGGTATACAGGTCTATGAAGAGTATGTAAATCAAGGGTACGTTTGACTTTTTGTCATGTTAGTCACAATTCGACACACCTGTATATATCTTGCTATAATTAAGCATAAGAAATTGAGCACTATGTACTCGTGTATTTTATATATGCATACATATGTATAATCTTTTACGTAGAACTTTACGTTAAAGAGCGGAATGTGGTTTTTACTCTTGAATTCTTGCGAGTATTGAATGTGTGTACATTACGTGAGGAATGAAATTATATGTGCATTGAAATTTTCGATTTTCCAAGTAATAAAAGCACACGTTAAAAAGGAATACCAATGTATAATAATCTAATGAAAGTCAGTAATTAACATTTTTATTTTCATATCCAGTAGTATATAATAAATGCAACTAATTAAAAATTGACGCATATACACACGCATACATACGTATCTTTAGTATATACGTATCTTTAGTACAAATCGTCAGTAAAAGAAAAGAAAGAGAGAATCTATTGTATAATGTTATCCTTCTAATTTAATACAAGATTCGTATGTTTGATCTTATTTTCGTTGGATGATGCCTCAAAATATTAATTTTTTGTCTAATGATTTTTACATATGCATTATCATTAATGCGCACAAGTACATATATAGGTAAAATCGCTGTACATATCGTTCGTTCGATTTCTAGTTATGTACCTAAAAGTATTTTATAAGCGAGCACATAGTTATGTAAACGGAATATAATTACAATTTGTACAGCTATGATACACTTGTACAAATATCTTTCCTCTTATAGAAAAAGAAAAACAAATTAATTTTACTGTATAATGTATCAACTTGCTCAATAAGACGGGATTTGATAATCCGTAAATTTGTACATGCGCAATTCAATTAAGCTTTTGTCGGTTTTTGATATTGTGTGAGTATATTAGTATATAATTAAAAATTTAATTAATAAGTAAATAATTCTATTGCTAATTAAAATTTTTGTGGAAAATAATTTCACTTTTTATTAGAATTTCTGTTTTTCAACCAGTAAGCACCGGCTACCAATATTGTACAACAAAATCCAACTAGACAACGTAATTTCCAATGCTGCTTGGAACATCGTAATACATTAATTACTTTTATGGTCTGTTCTCTGGTATCGCTCACACTACTGGAATTCTCGATAACAAAATTTGCCATTTCTGCTTTCTTCTCCAAGGACATCTGTGCGGCTACTCTTATCTTTGCTTTAGCTTCTGTAAATCCGCTGCGTTCCATCAAACGTTGTAGCTGTAGGTCTTCCTCGCTAGAAGTAATAAAAAAATTTAGGAATGAGTATTTTACAGGACCTATAATCAGTTGTATATGCTTCCTTGATTTAAAAGACTATTTAATATTTTGGTAAAAGAATCAAATTGAGAGAAATTTATACTTACCAGGTTACAACAATAATTTTATGCAAGAAATCTAACATGTGTCCTGTTTCAAAAAGTAAAGGTAGATCCAAAACTATGAATGGATGGCCTTGAATTAAGTATTGAAAAACTTGCCAATAGATTTTCTTATATATATCAGGATGTGTAATGGCATTGAGTTTTCTCCTCTTTTCAACATCATTAAATATTAACTCGCCGAGTTTTGCTCTGTCCAGGTATCTGGTTTCCAGGAACACTTCTGAGCCAAATTCATTTTGTATTTTATACCATGCTGGTTTTCCTGGTTCAACAACTGTAAAAAAAAAAAATATATATATATATATATATATATATATATATATATATATATATAACATGTGTATGTGTATACATAATTAAGCCTACACAAAGTAGATTTTTTTAACTCTTGTTTTCTTTGTGTCATGAATCTCTGCAGCAACCTGATGTAGAACGCGGTCCAGTAACCACTACAAATGCTGCGCAGAGTTTCTCTTGTTTTATTTCTCGGATTCGAATGAAGAAAGAGAAAGAAGTAAAAATGTTACAAAGCATTTGTAGCGTTTACTGGACCGTACCCATAGTCTATAAATTCTTTCCCAGAGAAAAATGTTTTTAAGTACAAAATATAAAATATATACGTTTAAGAAGTGAACTTCTTATAGTGAAGTTCAAGTGAACTGGTTATACAGAAATATAATTAGTAAAATACCAAAGTAACAAATTTGCCAAATTTATTTTAACAGTGTTGTACTCCAATTGTACTAAAAAAAGCATTTAATTTCTTGCCATTCTAGAACACGTGACGCTCTGAAATCTGTCTATGAGCATTACGACTTTTGCTACGAGATTTTATTCAGAATTTCTAAGCGCAATATATATTTTTGAGAGCTAAGTTCATATTGCATTTCGTATAGAAAACATCATTTTATCTTTTGTGCTTATTACATGTCGAAGGAAGATAGAATGATGCGAAAACGTACAAGACGAACTTAGCCGTAATTAATGCAATGACATAGTAAGTTGCAACTTGTCTAACCTTCTCGGGCAATAATATCGGCGTCTATAACAGGAATGCCATGCTCCCGAAAGACTGCGGCTACTGTGCTTTTTCCGGTGGCTATGCCGCCTGTTAATCCAACCAGATACATCTCATAAAATACACAACGTAGCAGACGATAATCAGACACAGGCAACTGAATAATAATGACTGTCTTTATTCCCTGTGCGCTATGGGAGGAGGTTATATGATCCGGTCTTTTAAACTGAACTTTCTACACTAGTGTAAGGAATATATACCAAAGTGATCTTTTTAGTAGCAACATTATGCTTTTGCATATCTAAAAATAGAAAATTCAAGCTGTAAAATACTCCTCGAGCTATTTCATTATCATTTTGGTCGAAGTTCAACAGCGCCGGTTAAATTGTACACATGTTTGTTTCATGATCGAGAGGAATGATTATTTAATTTTTATATATAGAGAAAAAATGCACCTTATGTGTCGATTAGTTGTGAAACTTGAAAATAAGGAGATCTTTCGCCTTGCTGTTGATTTATAAAACAAGAAAATAAAAAGACGGTTGATATGTTGTTGAGTCGTTTTAACAAAAAAATTTGTTAACTTACTATTGAAATATAAAACTTGAAAATATGAAGATCTCTTGACTTGCTGTAATCGTAAAATATAAAAATAAAATGACTTCTAATTAGTAGTATAGTGAGTTTTGATTAGTTTTATTATAGTCGGCAATACGTCTGATTTGTCGTCAAGTAATACTACGTCTTCATTTTTTTTTTATTGGGAGTAAAGGGTACAAAAGGTGTACGGATCACACTACATCTTCGAATTTTCGTAAGAAACAGTGATGGCTCGTAGCGGAGAATTTTTGAACTAAACTTTCGCAAAAATAATTGGTCAAATAATATATAGGAACAAAACGTTAGCGAAAACAGGTCTAAAATATCATGATGGTTCTCGCAGATTAGGGGCCTTATTTTCGAAAAATATCGCATATGATATTTCTATGAAAAGCTATAGTTCATGTTACATATATTATAGCTTTTCATAGAATTATCGTATGCGATATTTTTCGAGAATAAGGCCCCAATGCTGGGATTCTGTAACTCGTTATTGGAGTTAACGACAGTTTCGTTATCGTTGCGCAGCTTTTGTATACTGTAGAAAAGCTGCGCAATGATAACGAAACTGTCGTTAACTCCAATAACGAGTTACAGAATCCCAACACAGGAGCCGTATTCTTAAAAAAATATCGCATACGATATTTCGATAAAAAGCTATAGTTCATGTGATGTATACTATGGCTTTTTATCGAAATATCGTATGCGATATTTTTCGAGAATAAGGCCTCAGCATATATATATATATACACACACACATGTGTGTGTGTGTGAGTACATAGTCGAGAATTTTAATCTTTGTGGTAAAAGGTCCTTATGGATAGGACTATATATTTCGTAGTAGAAGATGTCGGATTGTTAGTCCCGAGCCACGATAAGTGTAGTAAGCTTTAAGCCGAAAGGGACGTCTACATTGGAAGTAAGCAGTAAGAAGTAGGAAGTAAGAATAAGAAATTGACCAATCATAGTTGATTATTCTTCTCACATTCGACTGTGGTTGGTCAATTTCTTACTCTTGCTTCCTACTTCTTGCTATTTACTTCCAATGTAGACGTCCCTTAAAGCGTCTTCTACAATGGCAGTAGGAGTAGTAGTAAGAAATAAGCAGTAAGTAAATAGACCAATCACAATCGATTATTTTTAAAATGTGAGAATGGAATTGGTCAATTTGCTTACTGCTTATTTCTTACTCCTACTCCTATCCCTTACTCCATCTATTATAGATCGGGCCTTAAGAAATTGACCGATCACAGTCGATTATTCTTCTCAAATTTGACTGTGATTGGTCAATTTCTTAAGGCTTAAAGCTTACTACACCTATTGTGAATCGGGACTTGCGTGAAACATTAGGCCTGTTCTTTGTAGCTGCACTACTGAACTAGTGCAATAAGTTACAGTGAGAAAACGTATATTTGTTTCACTTCAATATATTGCACCAGTTCAGCAGTGCAACTACAAAGAACAGGCCTATTGTAAAAGCCAGAGAACTGAGAAGCCGGAAAAATAAAATACAACTAGAATGGGAAAGTAAAAATGATAAAAGACTATCATTTCACAGGTATATTTTAATATAACAGACAGTTGCAATCAGAGTAAAACTTTATATTCATACACACTCATGCACACATATTCATTTTGTACATTTTCCAATACACTATACCAAGATAAACAATAGCTGCGATCGGCATTGTAAATCGAAGACGTCGGATTGCTCTTTCATCTCGAAAATGCATAGAAATGAAAAAGATACGAGATCTCGTATCTCTCTCACTTCTGTGCATTTTCAAGGTAAAAGAGCAATTCGACGTCTTCGATTTACAATGCCGAACGCAATTATTGCGCTCCGCGATATAGGCCGCCGCCATATTTGGTGATCACTTCTGACTTTTATTCCTCTCGCCCCTGTGACTTTCCCATGAAAAATGCTCCGTCCAGATCATGGACGTAGTATATATGGACTCCGCATATGGCCAGAAAAGTGAAGCCAACATGTAAAAAGAGACCATAGACATAATATATATAAGCCGGTATTCATAGTCAGATCTTATATTTAAAACCGTCTTAAGTTTATCTTCAGATAATGAACGGATTATTTCATTGGTTACGGAGTATCTGAAGATAAACTTAAGCAGTCTTAAAAATAAGACCCGACTATGAATACCGGCCATAGACTCTGCATACAGTCAGAAAAGAGAAGCTAATATATACAGCCCCTTTGTTCTCTGTCTGTCTCTCTGTCTTTCTGCATAGCAAAGTGCAATAAGATTTAAGTAAGACTTTAATTTGATTCTAGTCGGGATGCTGTTGCGCTCTATAATATTATGGAAACGAGAAATGGATGCACGCGTAACAAAAAAGTGACAAAATAGGAAGAAAACTATAGCCCCTCTATTCTCGCTCTTTCTAGATGTTGGCTTCACTCTATTAGACGACAGAACATAGGGCATTTGGAGTCTATGTATACTATGTCCATAGTGCAAACCCATGCAGCGGAACAGCGGAGCGCGGAACGAGAGTGGAACCAATCACGAGCGTTCCACAGTTTTCGTTCATGATTGCTTCCGCTCATGATTGGTTCCGCTCTCGTTCCGCACTCCGCTATTCCGCTGGATGGGTTTGCACCCTGAATATCAGGATGTAAAAAAATACATTTTAGAGAAAGAACTTTCCATTTTCTATTTATTTTTCTAAGCTCTATATGCTGATTCGCCCGTTTTCTGTACGCAATTAAAACTGTAAGAACTGTTTGTTACTGCCATGTTGATTAATTTTGTGTAAAGATTTATAATATAATCTACGGATACACAAATTAGAATGGGAGATTCAAACTGTCAAACTTTGTAAGCGCCATTTTATATAAAATTTTTCGTTTACGTAAAGAAACTAAGAAACTTGATCAGAAGCTTTCGCCTTTGACAGATCTTAATTTATGTTCGTGTACTGTAAGAAAGCTGTAAAATTTACAACAAAAAATATAACTGAAAAACAGAGACTTCAATCTGAAAAATCCTACCTGAACAATTTTATTATCATTATTTTTGCAGAAGTTACAGCACGTTGCATTTTATCCGCTCACTCTTATCCTGCTCTATTATTTCTTTTCAGTTTTATTTGTCGTGTCGTCGCGTATCGATATTTCGTGTAATCGGAGCACCAACAACCACCCCGTAGCTGTCTAACGTGCGCATGGTTTGTGACGTGCGAACGGTATTTCTGTGTCGCGTATGTTTATGCTGTCCTCCCCCCTAAAATAGACCCGGCAAAATGGGCGATATAGCACGGCGAGCATCTGATCATATTTTAGAAATCATATTCTCTTATTTGGACCTACACACGCTGAGAAACTGCTCGCTAGTGTGCAAGAGGTGGTATCAGTTCCTCAACGATGAGAACAATCACGTGTGGCGGATGCACTGTATTAGAAAATTAGCCCAGGAGGCTCTTAGTTCGGATTTGTTATCGTCTGTGCCTACATACAAGTCGAAGCTCCGTGCTTTTTATCACGCGTGGAATCCGAACGATTGTTCGCGTAATATTTACATCAAACCCAACGGATTCACTCTACACAGGTTGGCCCTGCGCGACGTTACCCTCATCTGTTACCGCCGACCTGTCAAGATCCACTTGCATCTATGACACTCGTTTTGCATTTCAGAAATCCCGTGGCGCAAAGCACAGACGCGTGTAGAGGTAAAATAGGTTTTCGGCACGGACGACATGCTTGGGAAGTTATTTGGGAAGGACCGTTAGGAACAGTAGCTGTAATAGGAATTGCCACTAAGGAAGCACCTCTTTTGTGCCATGGATATGTAGCATTGCTCGGTTCTGATGAACATTCCTGGGGTTGGAATCTTGTCGACAACCATTTACTGCATAATGGAGATCCGCAGGGAAATTATCCTCTGCTCAATAATGCTCCAAAATATCAGGTATAGGGAATGTTATATATTATATATATATATATATATATATATATATATATTATATGCAATATATATACACATATATATTATGAAGAATTCTCCTTCTGAAATATCCCTAAAATTTCTTAAAATTTCAACAATTTATTCATAGGTTGGAGAGAGAATTAGGGTAATCTTGGATTGTGATGATAATACGTTGTCATTTGAGAAGAATTATGAGTTTCTAGGTGTAGCTTTTAGAGGTATGATTTTTTATTTATTCTTGTGCATGTTGCATGTTACTATTTCAAAGTTTGACACATTTATATAAGACTTTTCTTTCATTCATTTTCATTTCTGTGTCTCAGTCTCTAAGCTTTTGAGATAAGACCAAACTTTCATAAGTAACTTTGACAGGATTACCAGATAAGAGATTATATCCATCTGTATCTGCGGTTTATGGAAAAACTGAAGTGTCTATGGTATACTTAGGACCACCATTGGATGGCTAACACATTACATTTTGAGAAACATATCCGCGAAAGTTAAGTATCTTAAGTAATTGCTTATGAATACATTTCTCAGTAATTTTTACCGAAAGACCTCTCGTTAGATGATGCCACGTTGTACAAATATTGCCATATTATTCCCAGATAAAATTTGGGTATCACCAGTCATTTTCAGCATACATGTATATATTAGTAATAAATTTGCCATATTTAATACCCTTATGCGGTATTATTTATTATTATTTCATACAGAGGAGGATAAAGTTTGATGTATCACTTTTCTTATTTTTAAAAACTTTAATGTCATATTTCTTATACATGAATTACATTTTTATATTTTTCGTTTGCATTTGTCTCTTTACAGTATGTATTTTAAACTCTAGGACACTCGTTACGATTTTACAATCTTTTGTTATTTATTGCTAAGTAATGCGACAATGAACACATTGCATTCTTCCGGAATGCCCATTTTATTTTATCGTTTTTTTTTAATGTAACTATGTAACAACAATATTGTGAATGTGAAAACTTTTGTTGTTAAGGAAATTAGGAAATATGATAAAACGAGAAAATCTTTCTCGTTTTTCTGTGAAGCTTAGTGTATGGTTTGCTTTTGTCTCATATGATTTATTTATACGTGTGCGTGCGTGTGTGTATGTATGCAATTATCTATATAGATATAGAAGGTTAAGTAGAATTTTTACCGCGCGCGATTAATTGTATTTCTTTTGTATTACCAATAACCATACCAAAAATGGCTTTCAGGAGTAATTCTTCGCACGATAGTATACAGGGTGTCCCACTTAAAGTGTTCATTGAGTATAGCTATGTTATTTTTTGTACAAGAACAAATAGCGTGAACAAGAGTTGTACAGCGTGGTAAAGTCAAATAGTGACAGAACGTTGTTGTTCTGCAAAGCCTCTTTTAATAGGCACGCTAAAATCACTGAAAATTATTCGTCCTAAAGGTAAAACTGGATCTTTTTTCTTTTTTTTATACAGTTCTGTTTTAAACGAAGAAGTGAATGCTCGAATATTCTTAATGTACCATCTCGATTCAAGAGAAATGTAAAAGGAAAAATATCCAGTAATTATTCAGCATTTCCTGGTGAAATGTATCTTTCTCGTATTTAAACATTTAACGTCCTTACATGTCGCATCGGTGCGATCTGACTTTGGCTCTTATTCTGAACTCTTTTCTTTTTTATCAATAAAAGTACCTCTAAATGTGACTTATAAGCCTATCAGTCCATTCAATAGCATTTTTATCGATGAAAATTCAGAATAAGGGTCTTAAGCTCTGGAATCAATATTCTAAAGTCTAGATTCAGGTTTTGAGCCATATATTAAGTTGCTAGTCGTATATCAATATCGTTTACTAATTCGTATACTATCTTGTTTATATGCCACTGTAAATTTTTATGCTACTATTGCGGGCGGGTGAATGCACAAGATACATTTCGCTTTACCGCATAAAGTCTTGAAAATTGTCCTTTTTATTGGTCAAGTCTAGTAAATTTTTATGTTGATCGACATATACATATATAAATACGAAAAATTGTATATTGCAATCTATTAAATCTATATATATATATATATATATATATATATATATATATATATATATATATATATATATATATATA